ACGTACTCTGAAGCTTCGTCCACGATCTCCTCGTGATCCATCAGCCTACATCTCAGTTGTTTCTACGTGTCCTTTTCTCGTTTAGTGCCGGTGTGTTTTTGGTTCGAGCCCAACAGTCGTCGTGTGTTCTGCTGGCCGACGTTCTGGTATCTCCGCGAGAGCATGGCTCGGCGACGAAGTTGTGCGCTGGTCCTGAAGCGGACCCCTTGAGTCTTGACCCCCCTGAAGCGCACACCTTGGCGCAACTGCGACCACCTTCGGCGCAACTCCGACCACCGCACGGCCGGCCCGTGGTGTGCGTGGACAACGGCGGACGAGGTTTCCGAAAAGTCCACTCTGCAGCGGTCGGCTGGCTGCGGTGGCTGCGGACTTCCCGCTCGTGGGTTCTGTTGTGCTATCCCCGCCTTCGGCGTAGCGAAAGAGGAAAGTCTTCCGCACTTTCGCTCAGCAGCGCTGCGCGGAGTGCATTTACACGAGACGGGAGATCGGGATGTAGCTGGCAGCAATGACAACCAGAGGTAGTCGGAAGAGGGCGGAGCGCTGGGGACGCGGAAAGCGGGAAAGATATGTCGGACATCATCTGAGGGAAGGCTAGCGGTAGCAGCAGAAGTGTAGAGTTAGCAGCAGACAATCGCATTGAGCAAAACCGAGTACCGCATGGGGATTTGTAGTTTGGAGTGCTGGGGATGACATCGCCATGGCGAGAATTTCGTCGGATGAGTTGAATTTTCTGGTGTTTCGCTACTTGCAAGAGTCTGGTAAGTTCTTCGATTCACCTCCATCACTTTCTTAAAGCTCATGCTGCCCCTCTTTAGTCCTCTCTCTCTCTCTCTGTCTCTCTCGCTCTTGGTGTCTATCAACTTTTTAGTCTTGATCTGTTGCCGATCATCGAGGTTTGTGGGATGATCTGCGTTTCTTTTATATATAATCCCGTTTTGTTTTGGAAGTTCTGAAAAATGTAAAGGTGGAAGCACGTCGCTCCGCTCCCCACAAGACAGCCCCTCAACAGCGCCCCGCCTCCTCCTCTCGAAATATAAAACCCCAGCAGCCCCTCGGGTGTTCTTCCTGTTCTTTATCTCTGGCCCGTTCCTTATCCGCCGTGCCTTGCTCGGCCGAGTGCGTGGTATTCGTCTCCTTTTACTTTCGATTGGCTTCGTCTCTTTTCTGCTCCTTTTTCCTTTCCTCCTTCTTTCTTCTCTCTCTCTCTCTCTCTCTCTCTCTCTCTCTCTCTCTCTCCCCTTCGCTCCTCTCTTGATTCTTTTCTCCCGTCCATCACTGTCCCTCTCTCTCTCTCTCTCTTTTCCCCCTCCTCCTTTCTTCCCTCTCCCCCTCTGTCCTTCCCTTCCGCCCCGCCGTGTTCGTCGCTCTCTCCCACTGCTCTTTTCTCTGTCCGTCCCTTAGCGTCGTCTTAGTTTCTGGTAGCACTCTCTTTCCTTGAGGTTTCTCTGAAATTTATTTAGCGGCCCCTGACCTGTTTCCCACACATTCTGCGGTTGTCAACGAAGATTTGAACCCTGAACCTTGACCTTGACAAGTCCATACTCTTTCCCTCCTCGAGGTTCCTCCGAAATCGGCTCCCCCTGACCCTGTTCTCGCACATTCTGCCAAGCGGAAGGCAACAAGTCTGACGAGCGGGAAAAGAGATTTGAACCCTCAGCCTTGGCCTTGACAACTGGACTCTGCCAAATCAACCTATTTCCCGCCATTTCCCGCCCTTGCCCCCTCTTTGATGAGATTCGCGCCGCTCCGCCACATGGCTCTTTCCCTCACATTCCACACTTCTTCCCTCGTTGGCCTCCTTGTCACGCAGCTTCTGAATCCAGTCTTGGCTATTGCTCTGTTTCTCTCCCTCTCCCTGATTGACCCGTTCGCCTCTTTCCTGCCCCTTTCGCGCCCTCTTATTTGGCCGATTAGTCGTATCTGTGCTGATGGACTCTTTATTGTGCGTTGAACTCTGCCTCTGAGTTCTTGGCATGCTTTCTCGTCCCAGATGAACCTCTTTTGCTCTTCTTCCTCCCCCCTCCCCCCCCCGGCCCCGGCCCCCGCCCTCTGTGTCTTGTCGCTCAGTCTAATCCATCTCGGCAGTAATCTCCCTCTCTCCCTCTTTCCACTTGATCGGTGAACTTTCGATTCTACCCGTCTCCGTCTCCGTCTCTCTCTCTCTCTCTCTCTCTCTTTCTCTCTTTCTCGCTCTTTTTCTCTCTTTTTCTCTCTCTCTTTTTCTCTCTCTTTCGTTCCACTCGTCCGGTGAACTTCCTTTCAGTTCTATGTTCTCGCCGCCCAGGTCATTCCTCTGTCTATTTTGATCTAGACCGTCTTCTTCGGAAACAACGTTTAGGAGGGCGTACTCGCCCGGAGGTTTTTTGAACTTTCCAGGATCTAGCTTGGAAGTATCATTAGATGCGTCTTCGAAAGTCCTAATTCGAGTTTATGCCCTTGTCTATCCTCTTGGCCGTGGCGCCGATTGTGTGTGTGTGTGTGTGTCTTTCTCTCGCTCTGTGTGTGTGTGTGTGTGTGTGTGTCTGTGGATGTGTGTGTGTGTGTGTGTGTGTGTGTGTGTGTGTCTTTCTCTCGCTCCGTCTCTCTCTCTCTCTCTCACTTTCTGTGCGGCCACGTGTCTATCATCGAGCTACTGTCCGTACCTGGTCGGGGTTTCGGACATATGTACACGCGGCTTGTCTCAGATGCTCCCATTAGGTACGGTATTTAGTATTTTCGTTTTTTTCTAATTTCACAGACCTCTTCACGATGCCCTCTCTCTCTTTGTCCTGTTTCCCGTGTCGAGCCCTCAAAAGAGAGGGTTGTATGTGTGGCCAAGGAAGGCAAAAAAAACGGAAGTAAATGGGAGGGATGATTGCGCCGTTTGGCTTGAAGAGAAGAAGCCATCAGAGGACGGGAAACCTAAACGGAAGCAAACGGGGGGCTCGCCGTTTGGCTTCAAGAGAAGCAGCCATTAGAGGAAGGGAAACCCACACACACGGAAGCAAACGGGGGGTAGGGGGATTGCGCCGTCTGGTTTCAAGAAAAGAAGCCATGAGAGTGAGGGAAACCCAAACGGAAGCAAACGGGGGGTTTGGCTTCAAGAGAATAAGCCATTAGAGTAATACTATAAGGGAGCCCCCCACACACGGAAGCGAACGGGGGCTAGGTAGGGGGACTACACCGTTTGGCTTCGGGAAACCATCAGGCACGATCGCCCATGAAAGAGGATGGATGGAAGAAAGTCGGATATGGTAAAGAAACCGGAATTAGGGAATGGAAACGAAAAGGAACACCCATCATGATGAATAGACTGTCTGTGGATGGAAGGTAATACTACTAGTAGGATAACAAGACGGCGCTCGGTAAATAAATAGTGAATAGCAAAGGAAAGATTTGAAAAGAAAAGAGAAGATGAGCACAGCAGTTGGAACACTGAAAAAGTCGGAACACGGAAACAAATCGCCAGCGGGGAAACAGATACGACCTGTCGGTAAAAAAAAAAAAGAAAAAAAAAAAGTACTTGCCAGTGGAGAAACAAAACAAAAACGACCTGGCGGGAAATGGAAATGGCGCGAAAACACACAGAACGACTTGGCGGGAGAAATTAATTGCCAGCGCGGAAACACATACGACCCCCACAAATAGAATGGAGCTCTGAATTACAAGGAAAAAAAAAAGTGTGTATTAGCTTTGTGAGATGTCAAGGTAGGGACGGATACAGAATACAGAAAAAAATGGCGGCAGAAAAAAAAAAAAAAAGTAGCGTTATGAAAAAGCATCGCGGACGCTTTCGGAAAGGAGAAGGGTTGAGTTGATTTTTTTTTTTTTTTTTTTAAGTATATTGGATCCAGAAAGTGGGTTAAACGATCGAGGAAGGAAAAAAAGATCGATAAACCCTTGTTTCGTGTTGATTTTTTTGCTAACAATTAAAATCGAAAATAGGAAGAAAGGGGTTATTTTTTTTCATCAAGTGACGTGGGCGCGCATGTGATTGTGTGTGCGGAGTTTTGCTGCTCCTCCACCCCTCGACACAGCCACAGAGACACACAGGCAGGCGGTGTCTTTCCGCTACGTAGCTCTTGAATGTCTCGAAGTTAACGCGCATGGGAGAGGCGGAGGAAGGCATGAAAGGTGAGAGCGGAGGGGGCGCGCTGGAGGGAAAAGGTTGGGGTGGTAATGTGAGAAGGACGAGGGCATGGGAGAAGGGGAGTACGGAGAGATGGTGGGAGGGACGGGGGGGGGCGGGTGACAGGGAGACGCAACAAAAGATATGAAGGGAGGAGGAGAGGGGGGAGGAAGGGTGAAGAGGAGAGAGTGGAGGAGGGGGGAGAGAAGAGGGGAGAGGAGAGGTGAGAGAAAAGGGGAGAGGAGGGGTGAGAAGGAATGACGAAAGGGAAGAGGAGATGTATGACCCGATGGTGGGAGGGAGGGAGGGAGGGAGGGAGCCTGGGAGGGGAGAAGGGGGAAGGAAATGCAGAGGGAAGGAGGGGAGAGAGCAAGGAGATTAGAAGGAGAGTCCTAATTAGGAGAAGGTTCCACGCTGCTGTCGCTACGGCACGTGGTCAGGCCCGGCGGGGTGATTGGCGGCGCATCGCATCGCACTCCATGCAGTATCGCTTCGGGATCTACTTTTTGTGCATTCCAGGAGGGGATTGTGTCTGTCCGACCGAAGCAAAGGGTTGGTGGAACGATGCAAAGGGGAGGTGTGGTTGTGGTAAGCTGAGGTGATTTGCGTGACGGTGGGCGACTGAGTTTGGAGATCGGGTGACTGGCAATTGTGGGGGAAGGGAAAGGAGGAGAGGAGGTGTTTAGAGGAAAAGAAGGATAAGAGAGGGGAAGAAGGAAGAGAAACAGGAGAAGAGGGAGGGAAGAAGGATCAAACCGCCTTTTTTTTGTGGTTAAGTGATGATCGAGGAATCAAGGCGAAGGGTGGAACGACATTATGAACAATTGACAAACGGGAGGAGGCTGGAAATTATCGGAAGGGAAAGGAGAGTGTGTAAGAGAGAAAAAGGAGAAGAAGAGAAGTGTAAGGGGGGGAACTTGCAATATTCGACAAAACGTGCGAGGTTTTACTGTCGCAGCATACACGTCCTGTCCATGGCATGCGACCACTGTCGCGATTACCCTTCTACCTCACTGCTCAGGTAATCATTTCAGCCACTGTCTCTGAGAGGGGGAGAGAAAGAGGAGAAGATGGAGGGTCAAAACCTTTTTTCTCTGGGTAGGTGCTGGTCGATAAAACAGGGCGTGTTCTGAAAAGCTGAGAAATGGCAGGAGAATGGCCAACAGACGTGAAGAAAGCGAAGGGGTGGCGACATGAAGAGAGACGGTCATGCGGCACGGAAATGAACAAGAAGAAGAGAGGAAGAAGCAGCGTGATGGGCAGCAGCCGGAAAGCGCGTGCATGAACACACACACACATACACACAGGCACGTGATACATGTATATATGTATATAATCACTTAGTGTTATCAGTTATTAGGGGACTCCGGAGACTACTGTAGAGGCCTCCTGATGAGTCTGTTGGTGAAGCTCCAACGAAACAGTTTGTCACAGCCCCTCGTTTGTTGTCCTCCTCTCCCTCTCTGCCCCGTAATATATCTACCTACCCACCTAGCTATTTAACACAATCTCTCACACTTGTTTGTGTGTATGCGCGGACCACATGGGTGATCTGCAAATGGCTGAGCAGCAAACAGCCCGAAACATTTTGGGATTGCAACAGCATGATCTGGGCGATCTGCAAATTGTTGGCCAGCAGCATCCGGCACCACACCAGCCTGCCTGAGATCCATCATGCCAATCTCTGTGGTCTGACTGCGACTAATATCCGTGTTCGCACTCTCTCCACCGCCCGTTTTATACACACCGTCAGACTTGGTTGCACTTGTTGCCCTTTAGCTTGATGATGCTGATTGTCCCCGCCTACTGCCAGAGGATCGTAATTATGCAAGGGAAAGAAAGAGGCTTTACCATTGCTGTCCTACAAGTAGCAATGAGGGAAAGCCAAGTTGAACTACGCAATGCTCAAGCAGGCAAGTGGTTTAATCATCCATCCCAGATCTCTCTGCCCGCATTGTAGACGGATTTGGCCCGTTATATGGCCATTGTACATGCCTCTGACCGCCGGGGAACTGTGGGACACCGGCATCATGCTCCATGCCACACCAAACCGGCCGCAACCTCTCTTCTATGTCGAAGATCATTCATTCCTCTGGTCCCGTGCTGCTGCAGCAGGACAGTGTACCAACAACACTGTGCGACCTTCTCCTTCTCACAACTACAAATACTGTCGCACAGTGTTGGTACCAACATTGTCACACTCGACTCTATCCACCACCGTCTCTGTCACAATTACTACAGTGACACGGTTTCTGCATCCATGTGTGTAGGCAGGCACGCTCCGCATCATCAGGACACTACATGTCCAATTTGCAGCCATGGGCGTTATACTGAATGCATGGTCTGTTGTGATGCCTGTTCTTCCTTCATGTTGGCCTGCAATCTACATCCCAATTGTCGGGAGCCTATGTATGGTGGGCATGCTCGATGCCAGCCCTTGTGGCAAAATTGTTCTACTGAGATCGCTCAGCTAGCTAGGTCTTCCAGGATGTTCATCCACCTCATCCTTACAATGTATGTGGTCTCTGTTGTCAAGGACAGACTGATTCTTGAGCCTTTTCTTATCCTTTTTCCTTTGCTTTCATCTTCGTTCCACACTCCTTACTTTCCCTCACTTTCCCTTTGCCTTCTCTTTGCTGCTTTGTCTTCTCTCCATCTCCTCTCTGTGTTATCCCCTCCCCCTTTATTCTGCCTCTTTTCTCACAGTTTACAAGTGGGTCGTTATGGCACTCGGGGGGATGTGGTCAACTCGCACTCGACTTCATCAACGTGGCGAGCCGTGTACTTGAGAGGCACAGTGAAAGGGGAGTCAAAAGAATAAGGATAAAAAATGTAATAGGTTCAGTGTGCTCTTCATGTGTTTGTCTTGTGTATTTGGATGGTGCTGGATTGGGCGAAAACTGGTTTGTTTTTCATTGAAGTTTGGTTTCCTCCTCCTTTTCTTTACCTCTTTGCCTTGTGGTTGCGTGCAAGTGGATCCTTGTGACACACGGGGATGGGGCCAGCCAGCGCTCGAGCTGTCATCCACGTGGCTGGCCTTGTAACTGGCGGAGCTTTCCTTCCGTCTTTCCTTGTTTTGTTTTGTCTGTTTTGTCTTTTTCCGCCTTTGCGCTCCGATTCACAGTGTGACAATATATAGGGGTCAGAGGTCACAGTGTCTGCTATCCGAACCGGACGTGACATTTTCGCGTCATACAGCTGTCCATCAGAAAGCGCCCGTGCTCCTATACATAGACAGGCGAACATTGCGTGCCTCCTATATATAGATTTGACAATATATAGCCTTCTTACGAGGCAGTGAAACTCAACGAAAGTGTGTGTAGGGAAGAGAGAGAGAGAGAGAGAGAGA